TTTTTTTTGTCCATTTCACGGTTTTCCTCATAATGGAAAAATATGATAAAAACTGATCGGCCAAATCTACGCCCATCATATATTTGTTATAATCTATGACCGATTGAGGTTTTATAATTTCTTGTTTTGTTTTCTAATGTACTTTTTTTGTGTTTGTTAGTTCTCCCGAATGTATTGTAGAAACCATGTATACGATTTTGCGTTTTGGCTTCCATGCCTGTACTAAAATTTCATTTTTTCTTTTAAATGTATAATCTCCAGTTTTTAAACTGATATGCTTCATAGATTCTGGAACACCTCTATTTACTCTCATTGTACCGCAAACTCGTGTGCCATTTTTCARAAGCAATTSTGCGGTASGAATACTGYTATAGTWATTATYCATGTATACATGATATCCCAAACCTATATTTWTATCGAGCAACGACATTATAGTTTGGTCCAGTTTTTTGCCGTTCGCACAGTATATTTCCAAGTTKCAAATATATCCACTTCTAGCTTCACATAACATACGACAAAGTAGGCCATACTTTACTATTTTTGCTGGATTGTACGTTTTTATAGACAATTTTCCACGCCATGGAATGATGGATTCGTCAAGCGAAAGCTCTTTTTTAGGCGTGTATACTGATTTAAATTTATCTAATAAATAACTTAGTATCGGCTGAATYTTCTYGARCTTATTAGAACCAGCTGTTGTAAGATTATTTGAAAAATGCCATGTGTCCCAAATCTGGCGAAATCTRTTACGCGACATTACCGTGGAGAACGATGGTGTTTTGGTATAAAACTCTGAGGACCAGTAATCATCTTTTCGATCTTTCTTTACTTGGCCCATCAATATAATCAAACCAAGAAATTTCTTCATGTCGGCCAGAGAAACATCATTCCACTTAGGCATTTTTTTACCCTTACACATCTTATCCTTATTTTGGTGATAATAGATGTTTGATTCATTTACCATCAATTGAAATAAATCATTGCCAATAAACATTTCCACAATTTCTTTTATGCTTTGCTTATTGGCAGGAAGGACTTTTGGACCAGATTGCGCAATAAAATCTGGTACATTAGGAGCTTTATCAACATCCGACCATGATTCGATGTARCTAGGTGATTCTGTAAACATTTCACTATCACTCAGATCATCGGAATCACTGGAATACTGTAATGGAGCAGCTCTTGATCTTCTTTTTGGCATCACATCACTGTCACTGTCCTCGACCCCTATATCAGAATCTTCTGATTGTATTGAATAATCTGATAGAGGATCAGCAATATAGTCAGTAAATTCACTCATATTAGAGGGGTAAAAATGCACAGAATAAGAAGGCTTATTATGCTGTTCAACTAAAAGCGTAAAGCTATGAAGGATGTACTGGCTACGGAACACGATACTCAAGAATGACTCTTGTTTGTACTTGTTCCTGAACCATCGTATACATTTTGTTACGACGTAATAAAAAATGACGATCAGCGTAGTCATGACGACAGAAAACAAATCGCCAAAAAAAAAAGAATGTTGCATTATCGCAGAGCCGGCGCTGAAACGACAGACCTCGAAATCCGCGTTTTCGCGAGGGCGGCGCTCAAGCGATAGAATTCGAATCCCGCGTTTTCGCGGGGCCGACGTACAATGTATTAAATTGCATGAAACAAACGCCGTTCATAATCAAATGATGTAATAGACCCGGGGTTTTGTCAGAAAATCAAAATTTTTTCCCGACTTTGTGGCTTACTATTTTTTAACGGCACTACGTGTTTTCTCATTATTTCCGATGGATCTATAGGTGGTAAGAATGCCGTAAAAAATCATTTGATAAAAAAACACCTGGTTATTTTGAGCTTTTTAAGGGGACGTTCCACCCGAAGCACCCAAAAAAAAGGTTATTTTCGCGAATTTTTTCCAAGAAAACTATAAAAGATACCGATATAAAAATTTTTGGGTTTGTTAAATTAGGTCTCAAACTACATAAATAAATTTTTGTTTTTTCATTTTTTTAATTTTTTATTACAAAAACAGTAGTTTTAAAAAACACCTCAAATTTTAGCGCTTTGGTAGCTCCATCAGAACTTGAGAATAGCTTAACTGAAACATAAAAATAAAATGGTTTTATATTTTGTATGACTTCAGCTACAAAATGACGCAAAAATATGAAATTTTATTAATAAATAAAAAAATGGTGGACAGATTACAAGAAAACGTTATAAATGACCTTTTTTTTCGTTGTTTGTGCCTAAAAATAAATAGTAAAAATTAAAATTAAGAAAAGATTTTGCGTCACTTTGTTACAGCTCATGTGTAGAATATGTGGATTAAATTTTATAAGAATCGGTTTACTGGTTCGTGAGATACGATGGAGCTAGTCTTTCAAAACGTAGTTTCGAGAAAAACGTGTTTAAAGTTTTTTTTACTAAAAATCGTGAAAAATTCTTACCTAAACCTAATCTGCGATGCCTGGACCGTACAATAGACTTTCTTTTTATTTAAATTCTTCAATTTCTTCCAGT